GCAATGCGCATGGGAAGCTTGTGATGCGTGATCCCTTGACCCTCAACAACCCCCACCCGGCCCCCATGCTGATTCCCTCACCCTCCGTCGTCCCCATCATCACCACCACCACCACCTCTGCCACCCCACCACGCTCTGTACCGCCACACAGCTGAGAGGTAAGTCGGCACGCAACATGGGAGTTGTTTAGGGGGCCTGACTCATTACTGACACCATTGCTACCCTGTCACATCATGTGATGCGTGCATGCGTGGATGCAGGGGGCATGCATGGCTGCATGGGTCGAAGGCTGCAGGGTTTTTGCATTGCCCCTGCCGCATGTTTGGGTTCACGTGTGCGGGTCAACGCCTGCAAGTTAGCCCGCCCCGCCAAAGCACAACCAGCTGCCCAGTCCCCGCCATCCACAGTCCGCGCCCACCGCATGAATCACGTGCCCGCCTGTGCTGCTCCGTCCCAGATTCATATGGAACCTCAACACCATCCGCCTCATCTTTCGTTTCGCTGCTACCGACGGCCCGGTCGTCAGCTTCCAGCAGTTCCTGTACCAGCTGTCAGACGTGAACTCCATTCGGAACAACGCGCAAACGCTCGCGGTACGGCATTAACGGCAGTACATTGCAGTACAGCCGTACATTGCATACCGTTTTATTTCTTGCCAACGTGCTCGCTGGCTTTTGTCGTACATCTTTGAGACCTTTCTTACTGCCGTACTTAATGCCGTAAAACATCATGACTGTCCTACACGCTAACCCGTTGGTCTGCATGTGTGAGCGTGCAGAAAATGGATCAAGCGATGAGCGGTAAGAACTCTAGCAGCTCGTCTAGCCAGGACAACAAGGGCGACAAGAAGGGCAACAACGATAAGGAAAACAACAAGGGGCTTGGGGGCTCCAAGAACCAGCAGGGAGGCAGCGCCAACAACAACAGCAAGGGAGGTAGCTTCAAGGGCAGCGCTGATGCTGCAGCCGATGGAAGTGGTTCGGGCGGCCGTGAGGACCTGACTCCGCTACTCGACCCCATTCCTGAGCTGTCCTTGCCTGATCTCATACCATTGGACGATGAGACGGGGGCGAGTTCGGCGGGAGAGGAGGTTCGCTTCGACACCGGCGAAACGCCAGGTATGACATGGGGGGTGCTTTGCGGGGCGGGAACGGCGATATACCGGTATGCTGCTTTCCAGGCATCCAGGCGGGGCACCGTACGTGTATGCTTGCATGCATGATGCCTTGATGAGGTACAATGACAGGCAGCATCAGGGCGCCGCAGGTTGCGTGTGGGCGAGCGGTTAGCTTGCCAAGCATGTACCAATAATTGATGCAGGCATAGCGCAGCGCTCCACGAGATGGCAATGCTGGCTGGCCTGATGGCTCCCGCTCAGCCCCCGCCGTGCACTGACGTGATGCAGCACGAGACGTAACACCCTACGACCTGGCACCCTGCCGATTGTATTCTTGTGTTGCAGAGGAGTGGTTAGCCCGAGTAGTTGCGGAGTCGGAGGCCACCGCCCGCACTGCGCTGCAGCGCATCCCCATGGACAGGTCCACAGGTGGGTCTGACAAGAGCCGCGCGTGGGTATATACGGGACATGCACGCGAACCTGCATGCATGCGACATTCGAGCGGGTGCATGCATTGGTCCCTGCATAGGACGTGTGCAGGTCTCTCTAACTCCAGTGCAGCAAACCCCACGCACTCATACACTGTGTGCAGCGCCCGTCATCCTCCTTAGGCAGTACCGGCAGCTCAATGAAAATAGAGCCGTCCTGACCCATGGGTCGCCCAATGTCTTGTCACGCGCAGGCCTCGACAGGATTATCGCTTAGCCCTGCATGGGGGGCCTAGGATCGCTGGCGGCGGCGTGGTGACAGAAACGGGCTGCATACCAGACGACAAAAGTGACTGCAGCATTCCGTCGCCTGTTGGGCAGCCTTTGCTTGCTTGGCACACTTCCTACCCGCCGGTAACATTAACACTACTGCGTGCCATCTTCTCGACATGTCGGGATTCTCCGACATTGCTGGAATAACGCGTGATGAGCTCTATACGTGATAGAAGAGCAGGATGTTGGGCATAGTTCGTGAGCACGTATAGCCAGTGTGATTCGAACAAACCGTACGGTCTGGCTATTAACTGGATCTGGATTTCTCGAGTGCACCTGTATGCGGTTGAGAAGTACTGTCCAGATTTTGCGTGTCATAAATAAAGACCATGAGGGTTGTGAGCAACGTTTTGCTGCCGGCTTCGAAGTGTACTGCGATGCGAATGGCTATGTGTCAGGATAGACGCATATGGGGGAAGCTGCAATCCCTTCTCCTCAATGCCAAGCTTGCAGCAATCCAAAAGAGGCCAACTAGTCCGCATCATTGGTAGTCAGGTAGCCACTCACCTACTTCCTTACTAACAAGCTACTGTGAATGCTTATTTACAAGAGAGGTAGCTCACACAGGACCGTTGCGACAGGCCAGTTGTCCAACGCGGTGACTTGCGCAAAACCGACATCCATATTATTGCGTCTTCAGGTATGCCTACAGGCCCCGCACGTCGGCAGACAGCAAGCGTGCTACTTACGTGCGCGTCCCAAGCATTTAGGGCGAGAATGGGATTTGGACGAACAGCACCGTACGACGGATCCATTTTTAAAAACATCGCACGACGAATCCATATTTCATACCCGCAAGAACTGCTTAGCAGCTAGCCACATGTATGCATGCGGGTTTGGGCTTTAGGTACCCCTAGACACATTCCCTTACAGCCTAGTTGTACAGTTTTCCTCTTGCTGCTGGCGTTTAGGTCCGCAACGCATCGGCAGTCCTAGCACCACCCGGCGGCCCCCAGCCAACGCATCCACCGTCCCTCACCGACCAAGCACGCTGCACCACCAAACTGCGCACGTTAGTTAGAATGCTGTTGCGGAGAAGCCCATACAAGTATGTTGCCATACAAGTAGGCAAACGCTGCTCAGTACGAGACGAACGAGCCGTGGAAACCAACCAGCCAACCAACCAGCTTGTGTGTGAACCGCGCTGCACCTCATTAGCAGCCAGCCACCCAAGCTGGCATGGCGTCTACTCGCCCGCCCCCGCCACCGTACTACACATCCCGGAGCTCTTGATGTCCTGATGCCTAACCGCCCGTGCCGGTGGGGACTGCGCCGCCTCCGATGCCCCGGCCGGTGTTGGAGGTGCCGCCAAAGGTGCCTCCCGTGGTGGTACTGGGGCCCACAACGCTGCCCGGCAAGCTACCCGCGCCTGGGAGGCCGCTAGCGCCTGGTGTGTGCGAGGCGGAGGATGGAAATGAGAGGGCGGGTGGGAGGGGGAGGCTTGGAGGGAGGCAAGCGGGAATTGAAGGGTCTGACGGTGGCAAGTGATGCTGCACACGCACCAGTTGTTTGTAGTGAAGCCCCACCATGCGTTACTGTGGTTAGGCTGAAGGGAATCAGGTGCTTAGGTTGGCCATGTGTACGACGGATCCCCACATACGGCACTCACTAGCAAACCCTGCTGGTGCCGTACGTGCGGCACACCATCACTGTGCTACCAGTGATCCTAAACACCAAACAACCAAAGCATACAGACAAACAGCAGCAGCAGCAGCAGCACGCGTACCTCCAAACACGGATTCAGTGGTCTCGGGTCCAAGCGACTCTCCGCTGGGTTCCCCGGCGATGTATCCGTAATCATAGTCATCGTAACCGGTGCCCAGGGCGCCCACGGGGGCCCCGGTGGTGCCGCCCAGACCCACGGGTCCGCCCGCGCCCGCCGCCGTCGCGGGGCCGCGGCGGCCGCTGGGCTTGGCGGGCTTGGCCTCCGCGAGCACGAGCTCCTGCTTTGACAGCCTGCGAGGGCAGGGGGCAGTGGGAGAGGGGGGTGTGCGGGTGTGCGGGGTGGGTTAGGGCGGCTGTGTGGGGGTTAGGGGAATGTGCGCGTGCGGATGTGTAAGACTGTTGGGTGCAAGTCAAGGAGAAAGGGTGGGTTAGCGCCCATCAATTCTGGGGAACAACAAGCGCCACGGCTTGCGGGTCGACAAGCAGGCAGGTGGAGTTCAGACGGGTAGTGGGGAGGTGACATCGGGCCAACCGTGCGACATCGGAAGGTAGGCCCCACCAGGAGTGTGAGGAGGGAGGGGGAAACAGCAGGATGCCATGCATGTCGCACTCTGGTACATCATACCTGCCACTGTACTTGAAGGTGGTGGTACACGACACAATGCGCAGGGGGCACAGCGTCGCCAGCCCCGCCCCCAGGCCCACCGCCGCCTCCGACAGCAGCCGTCGCGGCACCCCCGGCATTGCGGTGAGCGCCCGCCGTATCCCGCTACCCAGCCGGGAGGCGAGGTCGGAGCCGGCAGCCGGGTCGGAGTGCGTTCGGTCGCCTGCTGTTGGGGCGTGGTGCCATGGACGGGGGTACCGGTAGGTGGGGTGCCATGATAGTAATCATGGAGTGGACACGTGGGGGCAAGGACGAGAAGGCAGGGACGTGGCATCGGGAGGGTTGGAGGCTTAGGGGGACGCGTGCATGTAGCAAGCGGGTGGGATGGTAGGTGCTGAGAGCATAGGGTCGAAGGGCTGCGAAGCTATTTTGTTATGTTGGAGAGATGCCGTACCGTCCTTTGCCGCGGTTGCTACCGCGATGACCAGCACCAAGCAAGCCGTGGCCCATCGCAACCGTGACCACCATTGGCGCGCCGCCATCATCTTTGCGGCTTGACGGTTAGGCTGATGACCCGGGGGTCACTTGGAGCCTACTTAGTGAGGAGTACTGAACGTTTGAAGACAGCTACGGAGAGCTATCCCAGTTATTTTTGCATAGGTACCAGGCAAGCTGAGTGAAAGGTATGACGGTCGAATGACATCGTACGGTTCAGTTGGTTGTTGGGCTTTCACTCATTCGTGTAACCAACCCACGCCTGTCAGCTCTTCCTTATGATGTCTTCAGCACGCACTCACCAACAGCATATTCCACTGCATCAAGATTGCCAGTATTGGAGTAAACGGTGTGGGAGTTGCAGTGTGACGTTTACAAGTGTTTATAAGCGTGTCGCAAGCCCAAGCGTGTCAGCTGCAATTCCCTGCCGTGCAGGAGGACACGAAAGGAAGCAACCCGGTCCATAGCAGTGAGAATGCCAGTGCAGCTTTTAAGCCTATAACTACAAACGGCTAATCGTACACCTGCTTAATGATAGCCGCGGAGTTTAAGCGAATGTACGCAGCGATTGACCGTGCACAAGGAATTCATAGTACCATCATAACGTGCGGAAAAATAAGTGCGCAGCTATGAAGAGCCCAGTCCTGCAAATAAGAGCCCCGCCAACACATCCTCTCCGTGTCATCCGCATTTCCTTCGCCTGAGCACCTGAGCAAAATCACAAGTAAAGCGCCCCAACGCACGATACATAGACAGCCGTAGCCATGCCACCAGAATACCACCCGCGCCGAACCCATACAGCGAAGCAACCAAAGCCTCCCGGCCGCATCCCAACCCTCCATTAAAGCAGTATCTTGAACCAGCAGCGGTTCTGCAATCTTCCCTGTTCCCTCACGACACCTCAAACCCTGCTTCCGCCGGTTTACTTCCCGCCCTTCTTAGCCTTCTTAGCAGGCTTCTCCTCGGAGGCCTTCTCCTTCTTCACCTCCTCCTTCTTGCCAGCAGGCGTCGCCTCAGCTCCCTTGCCGGCGGGCGACTTGCCCTTGGCCGCCGCCGCATTCTTCCCCTTGCCCTTCTTCTTCTCCTCCTCCTCCTCCTCCTCCTTTTTCGCCTGCTCCTTCTTCTCCACCTTCTTCTCCGCCTTCTCGACCTTCTTCTCCTCCTCCTTCTTAGCAGGCACCGTCACGACGAAGCCAAACTCATGCAGAACGCGCGCCAGCCGCAGCTTCTCCTCGGGATCGGCGCCCGGTACGGCAAGCTGACTGATGGGCAGCGGGCGCTCGGGAGTGGCAGCGAGCAGGGCCGCCAGCACGGGGGCGTACTGAGCGGGAAAAATGGGGCCCTGAGGGAGGGAGGAGGAGGTGAGAAAGGGCGGGTGAGGGATGAGGGGCGTCGGAGGACAGATGGTACAGATATCTGGTGGGGTGAACTGGATGGTGCAGACTAGGGGATGCATGCATGGGTGTACGGAAAGGAAGCAGGGGAATGTACTGCCACACCGCGCAGCGTTTGACAGGAGCCTAACGGAGTGGAACGGTGAAAAGCACGACCCAAGGATGTGGAACGCAGCTTCACGCTAACAATGCCCGACTAAACCCAATCACAGAAATCGCCGGGTAGGCTTTCTAGACGCTTCCAAACCCATGACCCCTCTCCGGAGACCACCCAATCCGCACCCCTCACCCCCGAGACACCCACTTACCGGCAGCTCATCGTCCTCCTCCTCCTCGTCGTCGTCGTCGCTCTCCTCGCCCTCCTCATCCTCGTCCTCATCCCCATCCTCATCATCACTCATGTCCATAATTTCCGGCTCCTCCTCCTCCTTCTCCTCCTCAGCCTTCTTCTTGTCTCCCTTCTTGCCGCCCTTCTTCTTGCCACCCTCCTCCTCCTCCTTAGCCTCCTCCTTCTCCTCCTCCTCTGCCTTGCCGGCCTTCTTACCACCCTTGCCCTTCTTAGCAGGCTTCTCCTCCTCCTCCTCCTCTTCCTCCTCCTCCTCCTCGTCTTCGTCCTCCTCCTCGCCCTCTCCATCCTCATCATCGCTGCTGTGGCCGCAGTGCGGGTCACCGCAGTGGTGGTGGTGGTGGTCATCGTCCTCATCCTCATCGTCCTCCTCCTCAATGTTTATCATGTGAGTGAAGCGGCTGTTCTCCAGGCACGTCACCAGCTTCACGTAGGCGCCCTGCGGAAAAACACGTAACCAGCAACACCCAGCGGCAAGAGGGGGGAAGGGGAGACACGCTCAGGAAGGAGCTATACAAGCCACATGCGGCCCCCGTCCGCAACGCAGGCATGCAAGCAATGCGCTGCACGATTGGACCCATTACCAACGCCCTGCACACAATACCGCTGGACACTTCCACCGCAGCGCACCAGCCCAAGCAAAACCGGTATGCCCTCGATTGCCCCCTCACCTTCTGCTTCTCCTCCTCCTCCTCGTCCTCCTCCTCCTCGCTATCACCGTCGCTCATGCCCCCGTCCGGCAGCTCCACGGCGACCAGGCGGAACAGGTTGCGGCCGCGGCAGGCCAGGCTGTCCTCCGCCTCCGGCTCGGGACCCGAGTCGGGCAGCTGGCAGGGGTGCGGGGGCATGCGGCTGTGCAAGGGAGAGGAGGAGGGGGGGAGCGGGTGGGGGTAAGGAGGAGGGAGGAGGGGTGAGGGTAAGGTGGCAGACATCATTCAGGAGGCACAGGGGTTCGCCTCCATGTGCCAGAATGACAGGCTGCATTCGCGACGGACGTGCCCTCTCCTCCCGGCCCCACTCCTCCCCGGTCCTGCCCTTACGTTTTGTACAATTAATGTGGTCCCCCCTTTCGCCGTTACCCTGCCATTTCCCACCCACCCCATCCGACTCCCCCCCGGCCCCGCCCCGCCCCGCTCCTCCCCACCCCTTACTTTTTGAGGAAGTCCTCGGCCATGTGGTCCACCGCGGGTGTGAGCAGCTCCGCGGGGCCCTCCTCCAGCTGGGCAGCCAGCGCGCGCAGACCGGCAGCCAGGGCGGCGGCGGCGGGGCGGCAGGAGGCGGCGGCGGCAGCGGCGTCTGCGGCCTGGATCTCAGCCTGGGGAGGGGTGTGGAGGGGGAGGGGGAGGATGGGTCAACAAGGAGTCGAGAGATGCAGCAGACCTAGAGGATATCCAAGCCGGTTGTGGCTTTTGCATCTTCCCCACGTGCGTCACGCATTGCGTGCAGTATGCCATGCAGGGGCATTACACCGTATTCGGCAACAAGCAACGAAACGGAGGGCGCTCCAGTTCGGCTCCTTCGTACAGCCGACGCTGGTCAACAGCATGCTGCACCCCCCCAACCAACCAAACTGCAGGTCAGTAGATCCCAGCCTCCCCACCCTCCCGCACACACACACTGACCACACGGCCAGTTTTCTTAACACACTGACCTGCATGCCCTGCGAGAAGATGATTCCCAGCGGCAGCCCCCGCCGCAGCTCCAGGGGCAGCGCGCACTTGGCGTCGCCCTGGACGTCGCGAGCAGTCTGGGGGTGGGGTTGGAGGGTTGGGGGGGTCAAAGACCATACCGAACCATAGGAAGCCCAGGATTGGGGGGGTGGGGGGTTACGGTGGTGGTAGGGTGGCACGGGGTTTAGAGGTGTGGGGGTGTGATGAGGGAACTGGGCACAGGATGACAACAGCAGCACACTTTCTCACCTTCATCATACCCACAAACACACACGCATCCTCCAAACCGCCTCGTCACCCCGCCCTCCCCACCTCTCCCCCCGCCTCTCCCACCACACCCACTTCCTCCCAATCCCTACTCTTGCCCTCCCTCTCCCGCCATACCCTCCCTCCCACTCTCTCCCCCCTCCTCCACGCTCACCCCAATGACCGCCCCCGCCAGGTCCCCGTAGCTCCAGTGCTGGTAGGTGGAGACGGTGAGGTGGCAGGAGCCCGCCTCCTGCGCCACCGCCTGGTGTACGACACCCCGGGGGATGTACAGCACGTCGCCGGGCTGCATGGTCACCTCCAGGATGGGCTCACCCAGACCCTCCTGTGGGGTTGGTGGGGCGGGGGGACGAGAGGGAGAGCGGGCGGGGAAAAAATTATATAAGTGAAACAACGAGTCCCAATCCCATATCCCGACTCATGCAGTGAAGCGGGCGGGGAAGGGTGGGTGTAGGGTTGTTGCTCGGGAGGGTGCGGGGGACACGTGTGCGAGTCCTTTCCCTGGGGCCTCGCGGGTCGGCCCCATGTCGCCTCCCCCCCATGGTCGGCCTTAACCCCAAGCCCAAAAGCCGCCAGCCCTACCGCACGATGCAGCCGAGCCCCATTTGCCCACCCCTCTTTCCCCTGGACCCCACCCTACACACATCCTCCTCAGTCGGCTCAACACACACTGTCGTGAGTCGACTAACCACACCACGTTTCTCCACACACACACAGACTCGCGGCCAGTTTTCTTAACACACCGACACCCTGCGCCCCGCACCTGCGGCAGGTCCCCCGAGACCTTGCTGGGCAGCTCGAAGCCGCCGGTGGGCTTGTAGAGCCGCCACTGCTTGCTGCCTGGTGGGGGAGGGAGGGAGGGCAGTGGGGGGGAGGGAGGGCAGGGAGGGTGCACGGGTTGTAGGGGGGGGGGTGCACAGCCATATGCAGAGCCATGTCTACGTGCGCCAGCTTTCAACCTACGTAGCAATCTCCATGTCGCACTACCCGCCCACGATACTCAACGCACCGCTCAACACACCACCCTGATGCCTCCTTCCGCACACTCTAAGCCAACCCACATCCCACCCCCGCCACCCCCCTCACCCTCTTCCCTTCTCTCACGCACCATTTACACCTTCCCTCCCTCCCTCCAACCCTTACCCTTGGTATTCTTCCTTGTCTCCCCTTGGTCTGGCCCCTTACATCTCCCCTTCCCTCCCTTCCTCCCTCCCCCTACGCTTGGTCAGGCCCCTTAAACCTCCCCTTCCCTTCCCTTCCCTCCCCGCCCCTTCCCCTCCCTCCTCCTACCCTTGGTCTGGCACACAAACAGCTCCACGTCATCGTGGTGCGGCGCCAGGCCCTGCCCGTTGCGCGGCGTGATGTAGGCGTTACAGCCCACCAGGCAGCCCGCCTGCGCCTCCAGCGCCGCCACCAGCCGCCACAGCCCGTTGATGAAGCGCTGCGGCTGGTGGAGTTGCAGCGTGGCGCCGCCCTCCTCGTACAGCTGGCGGAGCGTCTCGCTGTCGGCAAACTATAGGAGGAGGAGGAGGAGGAGGTGGAGGCGAGGAGGAGAGCGGGGGGAGGAGAGCGGGGGGAGGGGTTAGGAATGGGTTAGGGGAGTTGTTTAGATGGCTGGCGGAGCGTATCAGCGTGGGAAAGGAGGTGTCGGCGTGCGAGCTGTAAGACCCGTGGAGTTGAAAATATGTCCTTGGCTTGGTTTCCTGACCCCACGTGTGCCCCTTCTCCATCCTTTCCCCTACACATAAACACTCACGTCCTCCTCAATGGTCTCCCGCTGACCGTCAACGTAGCGCACAGCGACCACATCACGACCAAACTGGAGTGGCCCGATGGCCTCAATCATCTTATCGTCAATGTCTGCGCGTGGGATGAATGGAGGTTTAGAGATAGACGGGCGCAGAATTCAAAGGATAGCTTCTTTGTTCCCTGCCGAAGTGCCGCTCACCATCCTCAAACGTAAGGGAGTCGCCCTTGGGGCCAGGGTCCTGGTCCATCATAATCATGGCACCGGCTTCGAGCTGGTCAGCCAGCTTGGCCAGGGCGTCAAAGTCAAACAGGCCATCGAAGAACTCTTTGCGTTCCTCATTGGCAGGCACATGCAGCGGCGCACGCTCCCAGTTCTCGGACGAAAAGACCGACACCTCCTGAGCAACGAACGTCAAAACATATGTGGATTGAAAGGGCTGCGTCAACGAAACACCCAGCAAACATTGTCCGGAATGTTGGCGGCAGTTGAGCGACAAACGGGTCAAACGCGAGACGTTTTGCAGTTCATTAACCTAGTCTTGGGCACGGTAATCAAAGCAAAAGGAAAGTGATCTACTGCAGCTTGGGCTGTTTCCAACAATTTCAACGCCGCCCTAGCGGAGAAGTCTATGAAAGATGCCATCGCGAGGACCTCGCGAGAATGATGACAAATCAGGGCAAATACCCTTCGCGTCTTGGCTTGGTTTGTTAGCATTAGGGCCTGGCGGCTTTGCATTACGAATTGCAGCCCCCTTCATACCTTGGGTGCGATCAGAAACTGCATAGGGTTCTCGTCGATAGGGCCCGGCTTATAAAGCTCCAGCTCCTCCGTCTGCTCCTCAGCCGCCTCCACCTCCTTGGCAGGAGAAGCCTCAGCACCAGAGAGCTTGCGCTTGCCCATTTCTACCCCGTAGTAAAAATCGCAACGTCCGTAGAAGAGTCAAACGTTAATGTACCTTTCAAAGAGGGTCGTGGGATGTTTTCCGCGCGGTATCAACAGTTGGTCCCGGAGCCTGCACGGCAACCAACTCGCAGCTGCAGATGTCGCAGTTCGCAAGTCTTGCAAGCAACTTGGAGGCGAAGCGTACTACTGTCCCGGTCATCTCAGGAGGACTATTAGGCTTTGAGGTTACCTAGAACTTCTACCCTACCGGTACGCACACCAAGAGTACGATGCGTTACCCAGCAGCTCACCACTCAAGCCGAAGCTGTAACTTGTGAACCAAGCACTCATCCCAAAAGCTACTCCGCGCACACCCTATATGATTCCCTCCCTGACATCCCTCCACGCTTGCAGCTCTCAGCCTGCAAAACTAGAAACGTGCCATAGTTCCACGCATGGCCTTGTAAACCTCGTCAGGAGGCCAGAGTATTACGATTGGACCTCGGCTATCATTGCTAGCTGCCATCCTACGTTTGTGTCTTATTGTACGACAACGTACATGCAAGTACGTGCGAACCATCCTGCCATGCTTCTAAGTTAGCTACGATACCCACACCAAAGCACATCAATACTGTACGCCTCCCTTTCTCGTGCCCACACAAGACGTTTTGTAGGACTTCTTCTTCTTCTGAATCTTTTACCGACCCACAGGTGATGCGGATCGGGTTGCGCTCTCAATTGTACGGCACGTCTGGGAAATAAGCAGTGAAACCGCCACTGCCGTGCAGCGGCGGTACATCAGAACGCAAGCCACCTCAGCAACCTCCACCACCCCAACCCTACCTTTCTCTCGTACGTTGACAACAACGTACTATCAATCCTCCATCAATGCAGCATGCACTATCATGACTTCGCTGTCCCCATCATTTCTCACCGCAAGACTAAAGCCCCGACCCACATCGCGTATCATGGCACTCCTCCACCACAGCCTCCGCCGTCCCACCACCGCTGTCGCGGCCAACGTCATCTCCTCCAGCACGCCCAACGACGAGGCGACAGGGCGCCTCCTCATTGACCTCGTCAACGCCTCGCCGCCGCCGTACCACCACCGCCTCCGCCTCCGCCACGCAACATCGCAACCGCCGCCAGCATGTCCTCCACACTCCCCAGCGACGAGGCATTGGCTCCCGACGCCATCCCACCCGCCGACACCGACGCCGGCGTCGCCGCCACTCCCTCGCCGTCGCCGCCGCGACTCCAACGGCCCGCCGGCGGCGCCGCCGCCGGCCCCACGTCAAAATACCCCTCGTCCCGCCGATCTGCATTTCCGTACACCACATCCTCCTCGTCATTACCGTACTCTCCTCCGCCTCCGTCTCCGCCGTACTCGCCGCCGCCGCCAGGGTGCGCCAGACCCTCCGGCGGACTGCCCAGTACGGCAGCAACGGTGTCCATGGTGATGCCGACGCCGGCGGCGGTGACGTTGGTGCCATTAGTGGCGTGGGTGACGTTTGCGGCATTAGTAATGACGTTGGATCGCAGCGTGTGAATGGCGGAGCTGTAGAGCTGTCGCTCCGCGCGACTCAGTACCAGCGCCGACGTCGCCGCCGGGCCGCCAGGCGTCGGCGCCGCCGCACCGGGACCCGTTTGGCGAATGTCCAAGCTGTTCCGGGTGTACGTCAGGCACCTGTCGATGAAGGCACTCTCCAGAGAAGACCCGGAGGAGTAACCGCCGTCCTCTTCTTCCTCTTCCTCGCCATGCACGCCGACCTGGCGTTGCTCTCCACCTCCACCACCACCTCCACCTCCTCGACCACCCACGTTCTCTGACGTCGGCCGGCGTTGCAGTTGGTGTTGGTTAGAGTGGTTGCGGTTGTCACGTGACGGTTGGGCCCATCCGCGATGGTGATGTTGCGGCCCTGCCAGCGGATGTAGCGCCACTGGCGCCTCCTCCTCCACTCCAGCAGTACGAGCGAGAGAGGCGATGGAGCGGTACATCTCACTGGAGGAAGACGAAGCGCCACCGTCGGAATACGCCCCCTCCTCGTCATCCTCCGCTTCCTCGTCTTCCTCGTACTCGTCCTCGTCGTACGGCCCGTTGCCGTACGACATGGGCCGGCGGCGGCCGCGCGCCGCGGGAGTTGGGTGCTGTGGCAGTCTGGTGCGCTGCTGCTGCTGCTGCTGCCGCTCCCGCTGCTGCTGTTGCTGCTGCTGCTCGTGCTGCTCCAGGATCGACTGGTGCAGCGGCTGGGGGTGGTGATGGGAGTACTGCTGTGCAGGCGCTCCCGCGCCGACGCCAGCGGATAGCGTCCGCCTCGCACCCATCGACGCGCGGCCCCCAGACGGCGGCAGCGCCGCCGCCGCCGCCATGGCTGCATTGTCGTACGGGCTGCCGCCGCCGCCGCCGCCGCTGCCTCCGCCGCCTCGCTGGCGGCGGCCGCTGCCGCTGGCCCCCGAGGAGGTGTGCATGGGCGAGTCGTCCTCCGTGATGGGTGCGAGCGCGAGGTGGGCGGCGGAGGGGGCGAGCGAGTGGGCTCCGGAGTGGTGGTGGTGGTGGCGGTGCTGGGAGGCGGAGCCGGGGCCGGGGCCGGGCTGCAGGATGGAGGAGGCGCGCTGTGGGAGAGAGGAGGGAGGGACGAGGGGTAGGCTACAGTTGTCAGCCCTAGCAGCCGGGCAATATCATTAGCGTTCCTAGGCGCTAGACCGCTGTGTGTTTCAGCGTGTGCCTCTTGGGGGTGCCTCGCCAGCGCTCCTCAAATCCTCCGCATCTCTCTTCATCCCCGCCGGTATTGCTGGTTCAGAACCTCCGGTCCTCATCCTGCCCCTGCCCCCTTTGCCTGCCCCCTTTGCCTGCGCCGCAACCGCGCTCCCCACGCATCCACGCACTCACGCATGCATGACATCACAGTCGTGTTCTTCCTCACGGCCCCAGGTCTTGTGTTGTTTCCTAACGCACGCACGCACACCCGCACACTACACACACCCGCAAAACCACATCCACACCCGCACCTGGTGTCCGCGGCGGAGGGAGGCGGCGGCGGAGCGGCTGCTGCTGCTGCCGGGTGCCGCGGGCAGGGAGGCGCCGCTGTGCATTTCACCGCGGTGGTGGTAGGCGTGGTGGGGGTGGCGGCGGCTGGCGCCAGGAGCGTAGCCTGGTAGGGGCGTTGCAAGGGGTTGCGGGCGGGGGCAGGGAGGTGTTAGGGATGCAGGATTAGGGGACGTGCACTACGGTAGAATTCAAGAAAGGGCACGCGGTTTTCCAGGGAAAGAGAGGCGTGAGGCATGCTAGGCTGTTGTTAAATCGCAACCAGCGCTCCCACAGGTAGCTACCGGCAGATCCATCCTGCCACCCAACCACCCACCCTGAGTGCTATAAGCAAGCGAAGCCGCTGAATGCAGCACCTGCTGCTGCTGCTGCTGTTGCAGCGGCTGTCGTCGCCGTACGGCACTCGCGCTGCTGGAGGTCGTGCCGTACGGCTGCATGGCGGCTGACGTGACCGCAATCTTCTTGGCTTGCGCCTTTTGGAATGCACGGATGCGTGCGAGTGTGTCGGAGAAGAGGATGGCTTGCAGCGGACCCGCCTGGCGACGAGACACGCGCACGCCTGGCGGAAGAGGGGGGTACCGAATGGGGAAGGAAGGTAGGGACGCGGAAGCTGTTGGGTCGAAAGGATGACGGGTCAATGGGCCAGCCTCAAACTTTCTACATTTCTACAGCACCCGCCTCTCTACAACCCTTCAACTCCCAAGTTCCTTACCCCAATCCGTTTTCACTCCCGTTCCCATGTCGTACCTCCCCCCCCTAAACCCCCCCCCTAACTCCCCTACCTGACATGACCGCCATCACCTTGCCCCACTCGTTGCGCGCGTACGACAGCAGCTCAGCCCGCGCCGCCAACGACCCGAGCTCCGAAACCAACCGTTCCCGCTCCGCTCCCAACCGCCGAGCCAGTGCGCTGCTGTCAGAAGCCCCTGCAGCAGCTGCCGCACCACCACCGCCGCCAGCTGCTGCTGCGGCGCCTGCAGGGCCCATCATCTCTAGCAGAGAGTCTACGAGCTTGAGCCTGAGGAAAAACAGGAGGAAGAGCAAGAGCAGGAGGATGAAGGCGGGGGTAAGGGAACGGAAAGGCGTTTTCAGCTGCACGTGTAGGGCTGCATCAATTACGCGCGGGGTTATTGTTGTCAGGAGCAGCCTGATAGCATGATTCACATTATGCTTGCCCGCAAAGAGTTGCTTGTAACTGCTTGTCGCAAAGAGGGCCATGCATGGTTGCAACTGCTTACTGCACTACGCGAACATCCGCCCACCTCTGCTGGTGCTTCTCACGCGCCGCCGCCACCGCCGACAGCTCCCCATCTAACTGCGCCACCAAGCCGTGAACCTCGTCAGCAATACAGTTGGCACCGCCGCCGCCGCCGCCGGCAGCATCCTCACCCGCCGCCGCCGCCGCCGCGGCCGCGGCCGCGGCCGACTCCTCATACGACGCGCCCCCATGCAACTGGTACGGCTGCTGCTGCTGTTGGCGACGGCTGCGCTGCGGATCTTGCGGGCGCTGCCGACCGTCCCAGTCCTCACCCGGGCTTTGGCGGTTGTGATGGTGCGTGTACTGTTGCTGGTAAGGGGGGCCGTGAGGGTGCGGTTGTCCCCGGTGGTGGTTGGAGCGGGAAGCGCCGTAGTCGTCAGCTCCTGGCGGATAGCCGCCGCCGCCGCCACCGCCGCCACCGCCAAAGACGGTAGCGGTGGAGGCGACTGACGCAGTCGCTAGCCGCCGACCCGGCGCCTCCGATAGCAACACCTCGGAAAAGGCAATGTCGTTGATGCCGCCGCCAACGTCGGCGGCCGCGGCGCCGCCGCCGCCGCTGCCAGGTACGACAACTGGGTCGTACATGACGCCATGTGGCTGCGCTGCTGACCCGCGGGTCGGCGTCACGTAGTCCATCCCGGCAGCAGCGGACTGCCTGCCGCCGCTAGCCCCAGGGCCGTACGGAGCTCCTCCCACATGCTCATCCGGGTGCCTCGAGCCGGCGCCGCCGCCGCCGCTGCCGTTAGCAGGTGATGAGCGGCGGCGGCCGG